CATTTATTTCACCTATGGGGACAATTCCCTCTTACAAGGTTAGAAAGGAGACTCACCTCGCTCCGAAGATCCATAACCGGCATTCCACGCCCTTCCGAAGACTCGAATCGATGCTAAATGCTCCAAAGCTAGCCAATAATTATGTAAATCCATTAATATATGCTCAATTACTCATTACAATCCAATATATAATAATTCTTAACCCCGATCGAAAAGTTGACAAAAATGCCCTCGGGCCCACGTGCCCGGATTCCAAAAATTTTCGAAGATAGAGTCTACCCATGAACTCACGAACTCAAATATATGATTTTCTCTTAATTTCATGTCGAAAATCGTGGTAAAAATCCATATATATAAATTTCTAGTCTTCCACCAAAACCCCAAATTTCTACCAATTTACATGCAAAAATCCATACATAATCACTGTATTAAACTCAAGATATGTGGGATTAACTTATCTCCAAGTTGCTAGGTGGAAATCCCTCTCAAGAAGCTCCAAAATCGCCCCAAAGAAGAGAAAAATGGGTGAAATGAACTCAACCCCGCTTTTTAAAACATTCTGCCCAGCGACTTCCGCACCTGCGGACTCCTCGCCGCTTCTGCGGGTCCGCATCTGCGGAGCCCTCATCGCACCTGCGCCAATCACCGCTTCTACGGTCCTTCTTCTCGCTTCTGCGCTTGCGCAGATGCGGCCAATACCCCCGCATCTGCGGTCCCTGCACCTTTCACATTTAACCGCTTCTGCGGTTCCCTTCCTCGCTTCTGCGGTGAACCCTCCGCACAAGCGGTTATACCAGCAACCAGACCCCTTCAACTATCTCCAAAATTCCAACTTCGATCCGTTAACCACCCGGAATCCACCCGAGGCCCCCGGGACCCCAACCAGTCCCAAAATACATTACGGACTTGCTCGAGGCCTCAAATCATATCAAACAACGCTAAAACCACGAATCGACCTCCAATCCAAGCTTTATGAACTTTAGAATTTCAAACTTCTACTTTCGATGTTTAAACCTATCAAATCACGTCCGATTGACTTCAAATTTTGCGCACAAGTCATATTCGACATTACGGACCTGCTCCAACTTTCGGAATCAGATTCCGACCCCGATATCAAAAAGTCCGCTTCCGATCAAACTTTTCATAAACCTTCAAATTTCTATCTTTAGCCAAATGGCTCCAAAATGCTCCACGGACATCCGAATTCACTTCCGATCGCGCTCCCACTCCAGAATCACCATACGGAGCTACTCCCAGAGTCGGAATCCCAAACGGATATCGATAACACTGAAATGCACTTCAACCCAAACTTATGAAATTTCTTCCAAAATTCTAACTTTCACAATAGGCGCCAAAACGCTCCGGGGTCACCTAAAACCCAATCCGGCCATACGCCCAAGTCCGAAATCATCATATGAACCTACTAGAACCTTCAGATCCCGATTCCAAGGTCGTTTACTCTGAAATCCAATCCTAGTCAATTCTCTCAACTTAAAGCTTCCGAATGAGAATTTCCTCTCCAAGTCAACTCCGAACTTTCCGAAATTTAATTCCGACCATGCGTACAAGTCATAATGCCTGAATTGAAGCTGCTCATGGCCTCGAACTACTGAACGGCGTGCTAGGGCTCAAAACGACCGGTCGGATCGTTACAGAGACAATTGACAAAAATCCATAGGAAATTATAGTTTAGCCGAGATTGGGGAAGGAGGAAGCAGCGGTGTGGGTGAGGAGGTTTCTCTGATTTTGAGCGTGTTTACAGGTAATGGGAAAGAGAATAGATTGTAACAAAATAGAGAGAGAGGAAGAACATGTATTGAGAAGTTTTTATGACATACAGTAACTATGAGAGAGAAAAATCTGAAAAGGGAGAGAGAAAAATAAAAAATAACGTGTTTAGTGGCTAAAGTGTAGGAGATAACCGAAATTAGAAATTTTGCTATAAACCATAAAAGGTATCTATAGAATATAATTTATTTAAATGGTATTTATTTAAAATAAATAAGGTGTTAACCTTTGCTATAGGAGGTAAAAATTCCAAAAAAATATATATTATAGTTTACAACAACTTTAATATTAATGGGCTTTAAACAAGGAAATCTATATGAAATAAAATTTTAATTGCTTGTAGAATCCTAAATATGGAAAAAATTAATAATCAGAATTATAGGTGATTCCAATATTCCAGATTTTAGGAAAATAATTAAATGATCATTCCAACATATTAGAAAATATTAAAATTACTATTTTGTCCAATGTGAACTCTATTTTTAAAGGGTAAAAAGACGAACGACATTTCGCTAAGGGACTTCGTGCTTTTAATATAGTATAGATAATGTACCTCTTTGCATAAAAGTGTATAATGTCGTATAAAAGTGTATAAACATCTCTAACGAACTTCTTATACGATTTCACTTGCAATTCTTGTTCAAAACTAGTCCAAAACTCCATCAAATGACTTCAAACTTTGTATACAACCTACTTAGACTATTTCTAATAAATTCAAACAATACCCACTTCAAATTTCTCACAAAATCATGTTTAAAATTTAACAAGATTAGCATTGAAGAAGAAGAGATTTTAGGTTTCTCACGTCTGTTTTTGCATTTTTGTAGATGGGACAGGTATGTATAAACTTGAGGAAAAAAGGATATCGAAACTCAAGGATCGTTCACGTCGGAAGATCTGGAGAATAAAAAGAAAAGAAAGAAAAAAATCGGATATGAGTTTAGTGGTATTTGGCTACACATTTGCAAACTTGTAACAGGGCTAAAATATTGCAAGGTCACCTTATGGAGTGATCTATTGTGTAATTCTTCCTTTTAGTAATTATAACTTGTCTATAAAATTTGGTGCAAAACGAGTTGATTTGACGTGATTCGGACGTCCTGTGGTAAAATTTCATGTTCTTGAGTTTCTTTGAAAATTTCATTTTTTTTTGGTGGCTGATTCGTGGTTCTAGGTGTTATTTTGATGTTTTGATCGAGCGAGCAAGTTCATATGATGTTATTACACTTGTGTGCATGTTTGGTTTGGAGCCCGAGGGGCTCGGGTGAGTTTCGGATAGGTTACAGACCATTTGAACTTAGAAGAATTTGCTGGTTTTGGGCTATTGTTGGTATCTGGTGTGTTCTTCTTCGCGATCGCGAAGATACTCCCGCGATCACAAAGAGTAAATTGGGACTGGGGAGGAATTTGCTCATTGTGAACGCGAGGAGATGGTCGTGAACGCGGAGCAGTAAGGTGTCTGTCCTTCACGAACGCGGCCATTCCTTTGCGAACGCGTAGTGATAGGAGCGGGGACTGGGAATGTAACTTTTACTCTAGGTGAACGCGAGCCCGGGCTCGCAAACACGAAGGCAAGGAGGGCTACGCCTACGCGAACGTGTAGATTGTATCGCGGTCGCGATGACCAACCGGGCAGTGCTCTTCGCGAATGCGTCAGGTGTCCGTCTACACAAAATATTGACCGGAGTCAACTCAAATGAGTTTTAAGGCACGATTTCACATTTTCATCAATTTTCTCATAAAAACCTTCCAGAAAGAGAACACGGACTATGCACGCAAATCGAGGAAGGCTTAACGGAGCTATTCGAGGTCTCAAAACACAGAACACAGCCAGTGGCGTACGCATAATTTTTCATAAGCGGTGTCACTATTTTTAGTAAGAGGCCCGTAACAGTCAAAAAGTATATTATGGAGCCAAGGGAGTTTGAAAACCCAAGACCTCTCACATCAAAGTCGAAGTTGTCAACCACTAGACTACTGAGCTGTTTTGTTGCAAGTGGTGTCACTTTTAATGCTTTTATCTTGTATTTCTGTTTTACTTATTATTTTTATATATATAAATAGCAAAAAATTTCGATGAAGCGGTGTCCGGACACCGCTTGGGTCCATGTAAATCCGCCCCTGAACACAGCAAGCGTGACCAAGAGCTTCATGACTTCTGGTGACTGATTTTATATGGACTTTCATCTTTTTTGAGCTTTCTTTGCCAACATTTTGTGACCCTCAGCCCTTCACTTTCATTAAAGACACCATTTTTGTATCAATAATGTTTATTACTAATATGTAGTATTTAAAAATGTATTGCTTCAAATGCAAGGAATTTGTGCTTCTCAAGTTGGAAAAACAAAGACCGACAGGCTCAAATATCATAGCAACAAGAAAGAAAGTCACGGCCAACTAAACTTCCCCATAAATTCACATAGGCGATGCAGAAAGGAATTGTAAGGTCTATACATAGGAATTCTAAGGATGCAAAAGTTTCCTCAAATTCTTGTTGTATATGATTTGAGCTATCCCGTGGTATAAGTGTTTGAAGCCTTTGAAAAGTATCAGGTATTTTGCCTAATAATCACATATTGTGCTACCTCTTACCACTAGATCAAAGCCTTTAGCCCTAGGACAAATTCTCAACTAGCCTAGTATTAACAAGTTACTGCAACACATTCAGGTCTTAAGCAAAAAGACTTATGTTAACATTGGATATGGCATGCTAATTCAAGATGATTTATTGTTAAATCAACTGATTTTATGATAAGATCTGTTATACCTCTGTTTGATAAACACTAAATATGAAGAAATTTGGTAAAACACTTCCACTCACGACCGTTAGGTCCTGGGTTTGAGTCACGCTGGAGGGGAAGTGTGGAAACACTATAGATCCTCCTAAATTGGGAGGGAATTAAAAAATGAAAGAAAAAAAAATTAGAGACCAAAAAACAGGCTAAATTTTTTTCACTTCGATTAATAATTGATTAATTAGAATATTGGTAAAAGACTCTTTTATTCCCTCAGCTATATTTTCTTTTTGGATAAGAAGTATCCACATGCTGATTCAAAACATAGTCATTATCATGACTAATATGCAAAGTTATCCCTTAGAGATACAGACTACAGAGGAAGTAAACTACAATTTCCATGGCATTGAAAATGAAAGTAGAATTTGTGAGCAATTAAATAAACTTAGAGAAGGAATTTGAATTTCACCCAAGACATTCCAATCAGCCAATCATGAGAAACTTGATAAAATTTGGAGAGACCTGAATAACTGTTCATTATCTCAGAAATGAGGCTAATTCTAGATTCATGACCACTAGTAAATCTTTTCAAAAACCATAGCAATAATCATCATACATGTTATCATCAGAAGACATGTTATATCCATCACCTGCAGTCCCCCAAGATTCAAACGAAAATTTAAAACCTGCCAGAGAGTCATGTGGATACTTCACATCTTTTATCTGTTGAGAAATTCTACTACTCAAGACTTCATTGAGGCTAACATTAAAGCACCGCCGCAGGTCAAGTGATACAAGATTAGGACAACTATCAAGAATAGCTTGAAGGCCTTCATTTGTCAAACTGTTCCCTATGAGCTGAAGGTGTTGCAACGTAGGCAGGTTCTTAGCAATAGCCAGAGCGTCATTATTTCTTATATCTCCTTCATCTGATTCATCTTCATCAGAATCATTAACTAAGTTTATATCTGATCCCATATAACATGAGTTATTCAATTCAAACGACTTCAACCGTGGGCAACAGCGTCCAAGAGCTTCAATTCCCTCAGTGGCGATATCAGTGTGTGTCAGGCTCAGCTCTTCTAACATTGGGAGCTTTTGATTGCTTTATCCAAGCCATCGCATACCATACCATAGCAACATGCAATAGTAAATCTTTTCAGTTTCTTTCCTGATCTGGTGAATAAAAGCAGAAATTGAATTAATGGCAGCGACTGATGCAAGATTGCCAAACACAACTTTTAATACAGAAAATTACTGCAAGTATACATTAGGATAAAAAAAATATGCTACCTTAATTTATCAACCAAAAAAAAGATAATACAATATGCTATCTCTGCAGACAGTTGCAGCAAAAAAATAAGTTTTTGGGAGGTATTTTCTTAACTATTCTCTTGGGGGAGAGTGGAGTAAGGAAAGCGAGAGAACAGAATTTAAGGTAACACAAACAGAAAGAGCAAAAAACTGCCACAATAAATAATTCAGAAAGATAATATAAAGGCGTAACAAACATCTTCCCTCTCTTTTTAGTGCAAACTGCAAGATGAAAACTTAAAGGATAATCTCTTGGTTGCTAGCTATCTAATCTCTTTCATTTTTACCACTAAAAGTCCCATGAGTTTTGCTCTTAATATTGATAATAGGTGAATTTGACTATAATCACACCTTAAATAATCACCTTCTTGCGTAGTTTTAATGCTAAAAGTGATGACAAAATGCTCTTATTAGTGTTTTTCATGATTTGTAGGTGATATATGTATAAAGACGGCTAAGGAGCAGTTTTGGAGTCAAAAGTGATGAAAAAGAGGCCAACTGTGAAATTTCCTAAGTGACCCGGGCAAAAACAGGCCGAAGATTCAGAGAATTGGATCCACCGCGGTTTCACCGCGACCGCGGCAGAACCGCGGTGGGAAGCAGCTGCAGAAGTTGTGAGAATCCGCGAGGGTGTTTGGCCGCGGTTCTACCGCGACCGCGGCAGGCGCAGAAACTTCTGGGACCAAAGTGTCAATTACGGGATTTTGAGACCTAAACCCTATTTAAAACATTAGACTTCGCCCAAGAGAGGCATGTATTGATTTTTTAGGTTTCTTAGCAAGGAAAACAATTGTGAGAAAGTATTCTAAACATCTTTCTTCTTTTCTTTTGATTTTATGATGAATTCAAGCTTAGTTTATGTTCCCATAGCCATGAGTAGCTAAATTTCTTGTCTAAGGCGTTGATGGAACCTATTGGGTGATGAACTTCTTGTTTATGTGAATACAAATTGCTAGTNGAAGAGGCTCAGTTATAGCAAAGTGAGCAAGAAGTAGTGACCCTTGGCCAAGAGGTTGCCCCGTGGAGGGCTCAATTTTAAGAGGCTAGGGCCAAATGTGTTAAAATCAATAATTCATTCTTGATGCGTCCGATTGTTAGGCTGCTCTGCCAAAAGATTGAATAATTTGAAGGCAGCCTTAAACTCCAAAGCAAAAGAGCTTGTTGCTGCCGGGGTGAAGTATGCCCAATTGGAGGAGAAACATAAGAGGACCATTGAGCATAATAGAATTTTCAGCTCTACTGTCAGTGTCCTTAATGTCAGCCTCCAGTCCATTAGATCTACGTAAGAGAACCTTGCTGCTGAGGTCGGCCACCATAAAGGTGAACTTCAGCGCCGAGCGACTTCCCTCATTTTTGAAAAAACATACGCTGTATACATCATGAGAAGAAAGCCTCAATTAGCTGGGCCTATTTAGTGTGCATAACTTGGAAAAGAGTGCATATTTAGGGTATTGTTGAACAACACCACTCCTAGATTATTAGAGGAATCTATAATTGCGGGTTTAAAGGCGGGATTAGGGATAACGAAGCCTTGGGTGTAATCTAAAGTGAATCGTGCTAAATAAAGTAAGCTAGTGTATCTCGGGAGAGTGCAATAGTAAATTACTGTGATTACTCGGGAGAGATTTACGGTAAGATTAGCGGTCATGATCGAGAGATGTGTGGGTAAATTTGTATGAGCATAAACAGAAGGGATTCCATCAATAGGGGAAATCATTGCCTTAGCTTTGTCCCATAATTGTTTACAACCTTATTATTTACTTAGTTACAGTCATTTAGTTATTTGCAAGCTAGTTGTTAAAGAACACTCAACTGAGATTTGAATATTTGGGAAGCTGGTTCTGAAGACTTAGTGGGTCTGAAGATAGCAGTTGATAGGTTAACTCTCTGTGGATTCGACCCTGGGCGTAATACTCGGGTTATATTTGCAACGTCCGCAGAGTCCTTTTTATAAGGCATAGTTGGGCGTGATCAAATTTTGACGCCGTTGCCGGGGAGTTAACGGAATTATCAATTGCCATTGACAGAAATACAAAGATTCTTGTTGTAGTCAGTTTTCTCTCTACCAACTTTTTCATTGAAAATTTGACGGTTGTTGATTTGGGTGCACAGGTGCATCCCTAGAAATTCTACGAGGACTGGAGAACTGCTTGAAGGACTCTCGGACCCCGAGAAGACATTCTGGGCATTGAATCGTGCAAACAAAAGACTTCAACAATCACAACAAATACACCAACTCGAAATTGACATGGGCGACATAAACGACCCTAACGTGAACGTCAGGAATGAGCAAATGGCACCTCCTGTGCCTGAGGGTGCACTTTATGACTTGGCACAACCCATAGCTGACAATCTGGCCACTGCCATTATTGTGCCTGCAATACAAACTGAATCGTTCCAAATCACAAATAACATGCTACACTTGTTGCAGAACAGGGGACTTTTTTCTGGGACACAAACAGAAGACCCGCAGCAACACTTAAAGAACTTCCTGTCTATTTGCAAAACTCAAAGGCAACCGAACGTGACCCCGGAAGCAATCAGGTTATTATTGTTTCCATTCTTGGTGACAGGAGCTGCTCAGGTTTGGCTAAACTCGCTTCCCATAAACTCTATAGCAACTTGGGATGAGTTGGTCAAGCAATTTCACAACAAGTTCCATCCTCCGAACAAGACCGCTCAACAAAATGATGAGATTGTGAGTTTCAAACCGAAACCAATGGAGACACTACACGAGACATGGGGCAGAATTAAAGGAATGTTGGTTATGTGTCCCCACCATGGTGTTCCAGAGCAGATGTTGGGACAACGGTTTTACATGGGTTTGTCAGACAGCTTGAAGAATATAGTTGATGCCTCGGCTGGTGGAGCATTCTTGAGCAAGACTTGGAGAGAAGGTCAGAATTTGCTCGACAAGATGGCGCAGAATTCGGGTTGGACTTCTAGAAATGCACCTATCACTCCAGTGGTGCACTCAGTACCTCTTGATCCTTCTAATACAATGGCTGAAAACATGCGACTCTTCTGACGCAAATGAGCATCCTCACCAAAAAGGTGGAGGAATCAGGGCAGAAGCAACAGGTTCACATAGTAGACACTACCAACGGGGGCTTGTGCACATCTTGCATTAGCTAGCCAATTGGTAATCCATGGAATACAGAGCATGATCATCATCACCAGCACCCTGAAGATATGAACTATGTGGCTAACTATGGGGATCAGAGGCAAGGTAATCAGAACTGGGGTCAGCAGACTCAGCAGCAGTGCAGGCCACCGCAGCCACAGTATAACGCCGGAAACACGGGTGGCATGAGACCCCCCAATAATATGGCACTGTATCCTAGACCACAAGGGTACAACAATCAGCAGCAAGGGTACCACCCACCCCAGCAACAGCAGGGTGGAAGGCAGGAAGACGGGTTTGCAAGGCTTGAAGCAATGATGCAGCAGGTTATTGGGTCCAATGCTAAAATAAATGAAAGGGTGGATGCACATGATGCAGCTATCAAGAATATTGAGGTACAAGTGGGCCAGATTTCAATGTCACTTAACAATCGTCCTCAAGGGACATTACCTGCAGATACCCAAATCAATCCAAAAGATCAAGGCCCAAAGCAGCTGATGGCGGTGAGTCTACGAAATGGTAGGGATCTAGATGTTGAGAAAGAGAGAGCTAGAGAAACCATACAGGCTGAGACACTAATTCCAGTGCCCATAGAGCTGGATGACTCTACGGGATTGACAGAGGTAACAGTTCACCCTGCTCCTGAAGAAAAGAATATGCAGCAAGAAACTGAGACAGTAGTTGAGCCAGTAATTGAGACAGTAACGGAGCCAATAGTTGAGACAGTAGCTGAGAAAGAAAAATCTCAAGTGATTGGGAAGAAAAGACCTCCTGCACCATTTCCGCAAAGGTTGGCCAAGCATCAAAAGGAGGAGCAGTATAAAAAGTTCCTAGAGATGCTCAAACAAATTCAGATAAATATTCCACTGATTGAAGCTCTAAAGGAGATGCCAGGATATGCTAAAATGATGAAGGACTTGATATCTCGGAAGTTTGACTTTCAAGACTTGTCGACTGTGACCCTTACCCAGAAATGTAGTGCAGTGGTATCTAGACCTGTGGCTGAAAAGCTATCTGATTCAGGTAGTTTTACAATTCCATGCACCATTGGGAACTATGCCTTTGCTAAGGCACTCTGTGATTTAGGGGCCAGCATTAATCTCATGCCCCTGGTCATTTATAAGAGGTTAGGCATTGGGAGAGCTCGACCGACTTCTATGTTATTGCAGCTGGCCGACAGGACTGTTAAGCGTCCATTTGGGATTCTTGATGATGTGCTTATTCAGGTGGGGAAATTCGTGTTCCCTGCAGATTTTGTGATCTTGGATTGCAAAGTGGATGAAGAAATTCCTATAATTCTAGGACGACCTTTCTTGGCCACGGGAGCTTTGATTGATTGCGAGACCGGGGAGCTTAAGATGAGGCTCAATGATGAAGAAATTATATTCAATGTGCAGAAATCGATGAGGCGACCAAGTGAGTTCGCAAATTGTTCCCTTATTGATGCAGTGGATGTAATTGTAGAGGCTGATGATGAGGCGTTGACGGTTGAGGATCCCCTTGCTGCATGCTTGGCAAATTTAGACGAAGTGAATGGTGAGGATTTGGCGGAATGGGTGTTGGCACTGGAAGGTAAAGGGTTCTGGGAGAGAAATCTGGAGTTTGAGCCTTTGCACTTAGAAAAGAGAGAGACCCCTCCAGCTAAACCATCCATCGAGGAACCCCCTAAGTTGGAACTGAAGCCATTGCCAACCCACCTCAGGTATGAATTTCTGGGGCCTGACTCCACATTACCTGT